TTGAGTGATGTACCTCGAGGGGTCCTGTAACTGAATGACAATGGGGGGATGGTGTCTAGTCACAGAGGAGTTTTGTATGCCCCAGACTTTGGGGTCCATCTGAGAGGCTGGTAAAGGAAACAACATACTTGAACCTGCAGGGTGAGAAGCTAGGAAGAGGAGAGGAGCTTCTGGTGAGTCTGGAGTTAGGAGAATGTGGGGAGCAAAAGAAATAAAAGCTCCTACCTTGGCTGAAAGATCCCTCCACAGTAAAGACACAGGACAAGTTGGTGTAACCAAAAATGAATGAGTGAGGGAAATTCCCCTGAAAATGCAACTGATTGGTGGAGTCTGATGAGGTAAGTAAGGCTGTCTCCCAACCCCAACAATAGGGAGATGAGAAGGAGAGGTGGGTCCCCAAAACTCCCTTAGGACTGAGTATGTGGCACCGGCTTCTAAAAGGAAGGAGATAGATTGCCCTGATACTTTACTGTCTACCCAGGGCTCCCTTTCAGAGATGACAGTGGTCGGGTTAAGAAAGCTCAAAATAGAGCCCCTTCATTCATCGTCATGGCCCATGGCCAGGGCTAGGAAGTCAATTACAAAGGTGGAACTTTTAAAGGGAAAATCTAGAATGCACACTGAGGTTTCACGAATGTGCAGAGTCCTCATGCAGGTCTGTAATGCGTGATGAGTGAAGTGGCGATGGTGTAGCATGTCACTGTGTATGCCCCAACCATCATCCGGGGTTCGGGGTCAGCCTGGTGTTGGGTCCTAACAAGAGGGAACTAGGATTGGCATGTAAAACAAGCTTGTTTCCAATTTAAATTTAAAAAAGAAAAAAAATACTCTTTAAATAAGCAGAAGTTTCTTGTTTCTATTTGACAGCTTTCGGTAGGAGGTAAATGAACTCTGCTTACAACAGCATTGTGTTGCAGTTTTCATCACAGATTGCTTGTTCCAAAACAGTTATTTAACTCCCTACAAAATAAGCAGGGAATACTTGATCAGCATCTCTGAAAAAGATATCTAAAAAGAGATTTGATATCTCATGATGAGTAAAAGTGGCTGTTTTGTGGCTATCCTTCAAATTTGTGGGAGAATAGGAATGACTTCAAGATTGCACAAAGGAAGTGATTGTTAGATCCAAGCCACCAACTGTGAACTATCCTGTGAGAGCAATTATATCCTTCCCTTACTCTCCATGGTCTTGATGCCCAATAGCATTCTCTACTGCCCTCTAGAGGTTCATAAGCCATTATTGCGGACAACATACAAAGAAATTCACCTGGATAAGTAAAGCATGCAAAAAGATTTTCTCCCCTTTCAAGGGCAAAGAAAATAGCACATCATTTGGTGAGTCAGTTATATAATAAAATAAAATGAAATAGTTAGGAAATGTGATACACATGCATATTTTTATGTATTCATGAAAATATTTTTAAAATCCAAATTGACAAACTGTTATCTTTTATACTTGAATTTCACTTGTCGGATATTTTCATTGTGTTTGAATATTCAAACACGTTTCAGGTTTTGCTTGTTGAAATTACTGTTTTCTCATGACAAGTGCAGTCTGATTTAGCATCCACAATGTATTACTGATGATTTGTGTATTTGCACATCTTTGGTTATGTTTCTACTATCCTCAAAATGTTGAGCCCATGTTCTAACTCTATGATTTCTTAATGTCTCAATATAGCAGCAAAAAATTTTAGTAACAGTTATTATCTCCCCACTTTTAACAGTGGGAGAACAAGGGCACAGATTAGGTGAAAGTATTCTGGGGACAGGGTGCTGACAGACTGTGTGAAACAGAAGCTGTATAGACCCAATGTTATTTTTACACTTACCCATCATGGCACCTTGAGAGAATAGTCATTATTCTCTTAAATGCAGCCACAGGCACCCTACAACTGTGTCTAATATTCTCATTACCTTTCCTAGAAAATTGTTCTCCCTTATGCACCCTCTGTCTTATTTAGTGGTTTTGTCAGCTGTCAAAAGATGACAGGTAGCCTTTGCTTACCTTTCTCCTCTTCCCCTTTGGCCCATATCTTACTACAAACTTTGAGTTATGAACCTTGAGTTCTCTATTGGCCTTCTGCCCTTCCATCATTTTACTGCAGTCTCATGCTAATAGATAAAAACTCCATAAAACCACATAATCCAGTTCTCTGCTGTTAACTTAGCTCACACAAGTGACAGCAGGACTTCCTTCGAGGACCAGTTTAATAATGGTTTAATAACAGCTTTTCTGTAGCATTTCCTTTTCCCTAATCTCATACCTTTCCTACTCTTCCTGAAAATCTAGTTTCTACCTCCCTCTCTCTGTTCCTTCACTCAACAAGTATTTATCAACTGCATGTATGTGGTGAGTTCAAGTGACATGTGGGAAAAGAGGAAGTATATTGGCTATAAGGTTTACAGTGAACTAGAGAGATGCACAAACAGAAAGTGTGCTCTGTTAAGTACTGTGGGACTATGGAGCACATTAATCCTCTTCTCTAAGGAAAGGCTCTTGAGTTAGGTGATAGGAGGAGTCTGACATCAGAGCATGGACAAAAGGCCTTCCAGACAGAGCAGGTACAATCTTGCAAAGGTAGCAGCTTGCAGATGACAATGGCTAAGGTGATACTCTTCTTTTCAAAAGGATAAAGACAAAGACTACAAATTAAGTTTACATGGGATAGAAATTTGAGGTGTGGAATGCAGAGGTAAAAGTGAGAAACAGGTCATTTAAATGATGATGTCGTCACTGCTCAGGTCTGGTGGTTAGTACCTATTTGGCATTTCAAAAAAACCAAGGTGTGAAATTTTGTGTGTAAATGTTTTAAAGGCAGAGCTGTTTTGCTTATAGCACACCTCATGTTAGAGCTCTCTTAATATAACAGAATGCCTAGGAAACCTAGGGGGCAAACTTTTGCTTTGGATTATGATTGTGATTATAGGAGTCTCAATCCATGATGCTTATCATTTTTTGTACCTGTTATGAGGCGATGCATCATGGAAGGAGGGATGTCACTCACCTTATGGCAGCAAAGAAGCCAATGGGAATGGGTGAGGGTGTTGAATCTTTTAACCTTTTTCAAGGGTGCTACCTCCATAACTAGCTTCCTTCCACTGGAGCTTTTTCTTAAGCTGCACCAAGATGAAGACCAAGCCATCAGCACTGGAATCAGATCCAAATTATAGCATGCCCCTAACACCTAAGCCAGTGTAAACAAAAAGGAAACCTCAATAAATGATTGTACATTAGAAAGATGTTAATGTAATTGTTATTTTCTTTAACCTTCTTTTCTCAAGTTACTCATTGAGTATCATTCTTTATATTAAACATCTTTCATGGTTATGTATATTAAATCTGTTGAATATCTATGTACATCTCCCTGAGCTATTTCAATGGAGGCAATTTTCATGTTTGTCTATTTCTCTTGTTTCATCTTTCATTCTGTTTCTTTGTTAGTGTTGAAGAATATTGTTTAGAGGCACATCCTATCATCCCAACAATAAAGCAGGAGGGCTGCCTAAGTTCAAAGACAGCCTGGCTAAAATATGAGACTCTCTCTCAAGCCAAACAGAGTATTAATAAAAGAAGCTATTAAAATTTATATCAAGATGGGTGGTGGGTCCAGCTGTTTATTCCAGCATTCGCCCAGCATATGTCATGCTCTGGTTTCAGCACTCAGCTCTGAAAACAAATTATAAAAGAAGAAGAATCAGAATTAATTGCTAGCTCACAAAGTTATAAAATGCCTTTAAATATGAAATTAAGAAAAGTGCAAGTTGTGTGAATATCATTTTATTAAATTAAAACTCTCTGTAGACAAGTGAAAAAAATAATTTATTGTAGAGTTTTTTACACAACTAACATATAACATTTATACATATATTGAAGTGCTGATATGAAATACTAAATTTAAAGACAAACATTTTTACACAAAAGTAGTTGCACTATATTTTATAAAGATAGATATCAATAAATTTTCAGAGACATTTAAAGGATGATAGGCCAAATATTCCATCAGAAATGAAGTGCATTCTATGTTGAAATTAAAATGGTTTTCTGAATATTCTGGATGTGATATCCTGGATTAGCTGACATTCTCCTAAACTAGTGTAGGAAGCTCAGGTGTGGAGATATGCCAAGGCTGGCTCTAACAGCAGTGTCCTAGCTGTGTATTCCCAGCTTTGTTCTTTGATATAGTTTGATCCCCAACACTTGCTCAAGTAAATGTCACCTTTCAGTGTGAAAAAATGCAGTCCAACAACAGTCACCAGTAGTATCTGAAACTCAATACAAGGACTTCAATACAAATTAGGACATGTCAGATGTTAGATAAACTGTAATTGACATGAGATTTGAATGAGCAGCCAAATCCTACAATAATAGAAATGTATATCCTACATTCCCAGAAGGGAATTAACATACTTCAAAATAGTCACTCTTTTCTTACTATAACATATTAATTCCTGCCTTGGAAGTCTAGAAATAAATTGCAATTTTCCTAAAACTTAGAGTCACTCCTTTAGAAAATGATTTCTAAAATGACATGCACCAATATGATATAAATTTTGTTTTATGTCAAAGTCCTTAAAATATACATGTAAATATATGTGGAGCATTAAACAAACCTGCTGAGACATGATATATACATACAAGGCCAGAGAATATTAAGTCTTGTTTTATCTAGTTCAACAAATACATATTGGGTGTCTACCACTCTTAGATCACCCGTTTAGGTTAATGCTTGCAGCAGAATTTAAGGAACACGAAGCTCAAATCATCCACATCAAAAGTCAAACTTTAGAAAATATACCAGACATTAAAAGTAGTCAAAAGCAAAGCTAACATCAGATAATGGATAGTGTCAGATATGTGTAACTAGCAGAAAATCTTGGGTCACTAAAAAGGACAGTAGAAATCAGTATCCACAGAGAAGACATGCTCCTGGACTTGACACGTATTATGCTGTCACCAGAAGCCATCTGACAGTTTTCTTTGTTCCACAATCTGGGATTCAGTTTTCATCCTGGCTTGTTTCCTTAAACAGGTGAAAGAAATGTATTATTGACCTTTTGCCTTGATGAAGCATGCAGTGCCCCCCAAACACATTTTCCTGTCTTTGACAATTGAATATGCAGTGATATTTATAGTTTCTATAAACCATCTCCACCCCAGTTTGAGCAGAAATTATTCTTAGGGTCTTCTGATCTAGAAGACTGACACCAGAGAGTTAGCTTCTTCAGACAGGCACCCATGAGCTTGCCACCCTCACCAGCAAATTATTTGGAGAAGTGAAAACAGCTGAAAGGGTTTAAAAGCTGGCATTCCGTTCCCTTTAGTGTTTGTTATACTCTATGAAAACAATTTTGGGGAATGTATACACAGAAGAAAAGATATGTGTTTGAGTAATCTCACACCCTCTGAAGAGTTAATGCACCAAGAGGGAACAAACTGTACTTGTGCTTATGATTTGACCTCTTGAGAAGAGGCCAGGCATGGCTAGGACAGTGCAGTCCTCCCTTGTGTGGTGGCTGGAGTGGAATCGCTCAGCACTTCTCTGCTAAGGAATTGTTTGGATTCTAAAACATCAGAAACAAGGCCTCTCTGAAGGAGAAACTCAAAGAAGACCAGATCTTCAAGGGTCTCTCAAATACTGCACAGGAGCTTCTGGTGGCTTTGGGAGAATCCTAAGCTTTCTGATTGATAAAACTGTTAGGAAATGTGGCCATCGTGTAGACTTGCTGAGAAATCAGATGGAATAGTAGAGGATGCAAAGGCCTCATGGGTCCCTGGGTACCCAGCATTTGGACTACAGAGGAAGAAGTACACCTCAGCTCTGCCCAGCCTGGGTTGGTTCCTACTTCATCAAAAGACCAAAACCATGCAGCCAGCATCTTTTAAGGCAGATTTGGTTCTAACCGGTTCCTCAGTACTACAGTGAAGTTGAATTTTACTGACGTGTTCCTGTCTATAAGCAAGAATTCGTTCCATTCCAAGGTCATTTCAGGCATGTCTGCTTGAATTTTCCACTTTCTGTTCTTTCTCAGAAACAAACGCAATGCCCTGATGAGCCATACCTCTATGCCTGTGTTTTTTCTGGACAGGAACCAAACTTGCATTGGCTCTTTCTTGCCCTTCATAGACACTGGGCCTCTGTGCTCTAAATGGAACTGTGGATCTGAATTTTCTGGAGACATGAGACACCTGGGAGATAGGAAATGGAGTAGAGAGGGATGTTTAGAAGGGTTGTGTAGAGAATTAAAACAGCCAGACCCCACATTGTAGTTGTACTTAAAGACACTTAAAATTTTAGTAATGATGCTTATCAGAAACATCCACTGTGATGTGGAGTGGTTTACCTACCACGGAAACAGTGGTACACACAGAGGGGAGATATGGAGGTAGCAACTGTTTAAAGATAGTGAAACCACACAGTTTGCCCATACACTAGCCTATAAATAACCAGATGATCCCTTCCTCACCTGTATGTATATTCAGAAACATTGATCTTTCCCTTTTCTCCTGTGGTTTCTGTTCTGCTTGTGAGGTTGACAGTGTTTCCAAAAAGACAATACCGAGGCATCCGCTGTCCTATGACACCTGTCACCACCTCCCCAGTGTGGATCCCGATCGTTATCTGTAGAAAGCAAAGTTTTGCTTCAATAGCCTTGAATGTTAACATGTGTATTTTACAGACTATTTAAATACCCTCACACAATATCCCTCTGGGAAGAGAAATATTCTGTTCAAAGAGAAAGACCTGAAGATATGAAGTAGGCAACTTCCATGGTGAGTCAATAAAACAGAAAGAGTGGGAAGTTTTCTTATGCTCAGGACATTCTGTCCACAGAACAAATGAACTAATTTATTACTCGTGTGTATGAAAGACACACGACTCACAAAGATCCGCCTGCCTCTGACTCCCGAGTGCTGGGATTAAAGGCGTGTGCCACCAATGCCTGGCTTGAGACAGTGTTTCTTACAACAAGTGTACAACAAGCACTTTTCTTTTGGGATGCCCCTCTTTGTACATGTTAACCATTTCCAGAGCAGGAATATGATCACGTATCAACTGAGTTCTACTATTAGTATCCAAATGTTCAATTTCTTTACTCACCTGAACAGATTCTCCATCTACTTGAACTTGACCAGCAATTTCCATCATGTCCAAGGCCAGGTGGCATATGGACCGTGCATGGTGGATACAAGGCTCTGGTAAACCACTCACGGTCATATACTTGTCACCAACTGTCTCCACCTAGGGTGGCACAAACATTCACATGTTCAATGATTGACATAAAGTTACTGTTTTTTTTAAAAAAATACTATTCTGTTAAATAGTATTTCCCAGAATTCACAGTGGCCTTCCTTTTAAATTCCTTAAAACTAGAGTGGTGAGCTCTAGCAGAATGGAACACCTAATGATTTGGAGTTGACATGGTATCAGCTCTTGATCACTTCATATGAGATCCACTCATAACTCAGTAGAATATTTATGTGTGCATGCACATATGTGTAAAAATGCCCTTACCCATGTATATGTGCAAGTGTGTGTAGGTGTGTGTGCAGTTTCTTGCCTGTGCATATACAGGTTTACAGGTTGATGGAAGGTCTCTCTATATATATATAACTTAATTTTTGCCATTTTCCTTTTATTTCTGTGTGAGTATATACTGCTAAAGATTGGATTTGAATCCAGGTATTCAAACATGCTAGGCAAGCACTCTTCCACTGAGCCATATCCCCAGCCTGCTACCTTATTTTTGAGACAGTGTTTCTTTTCTTTTCTTTTCTTTTCTTTTCTTTTCTTTTCTTTTCTT